GCTCAGCCCACACTTTAGCCACAAGACAATGCCCGCGCATGTGAAACTCAGTGTCATTTTCCCTGCTAGCTGCAGTGAAACTTTCTTTCTACAAATTAATCAAGGCGTTGGAATCATGGAAACGTACGCTATGAAATGGTTACTTTTAGTTCCAGGGAGGAGCGCTGTCTTTCGAGAAATATGCACGTGTGAAACACAAAAGTTTTCCTTCTACTGCAGCTTTACGAAAAGGCTTTATCAAACAACGGAGTGAATAGTACAATAGCCAGAGAATTAATCTTTCGAATGACTATTATGACTGTTCTGAAAAGCTTACGTCCAGCAAACAGGGTCATTTCTTCGTTTGTTCCCGGATAACATTAAAGAGCCCAACTTTGCTCACCTTCACTTTACTTGTGATAGACATTGTTTCTATAGCACCATGATAAATATTCTTTCATGAAGTCTGTGCTTTTGATACGGTAGAATCAGCATCCTTGCTGGGGATCAGTCGCAAATATCATCAATAATATTACTTTAACAAAATCTGTGAGGATATCTTAAGCTTTTCCCAGGTTGATGCTTCAGTGGCTTACGTATGTTTCGTCGGTATCGCTCTCTTCATCAGTTCTACATGCCACATAATATTCTTGCCATATTTCCATCGTAATAGGGTTGTGTAATGTTATAGAGACGTACATGCATGCATTTTCAGCATTTACTACGGACAAGCCTTCACTGATTCATTTGGGACTGCACCTGAGATCTCTGTGCTCAGCGCGACGCAAGCGGCACCCGATTTGCATAATATAATCAGGGTTTTTTCTCTATTTTAAGAAATTTTCAGGTCCCGTATTTCTTTGACAATTGACTATTTACTCTACACATTCATGTGCGTTTTGAGCATATACGACTCTTATATGTGAAGAAAATTTTGAGTGCGAGGCGTACAATTATTTCCGCTCCAACAGCGCTATATCAAAACCTAGAAAACTAGAGACTGCCCTAGAATTATCAGGATTGGAGCTATCTAGTGGTCATCAAGAATTTGAATAAATTCTCCCCAGAGACTCCAGCTGAGCACGAGAAAGAATTTCGAGTGTGAAATTTACTGTTATTATTGCTACTACGACGCATTAAGAAGGTCTTTTCATGAACGAGGATCGCTGATTTTGCATGTTAGTGGTATACGTATGGTTCGACGGTTTCTTCAGTCTCATCAGTCTTACGTGCCACATACTAAAATCATCAGAGCGGGAACACTTCACAACGCTTTTGAAGCGAAATATCGCGTGTTTGCACCGTTTCGCTTCATTTAGTATCTTGCGGTTGTCATAAAGAAAGCTTATTAAGAGGTATGTGAAAATATATCGTAATTCTCCAAAAGGTTCCTAAAAATCAATTAAATGAAGAATAAATACGTTATCGAAATTGCCGTTTTCCAAAATGTCGAAGGAGCACTAAAACTTCAATAGATAATCTCCATCCGATGAAAAAATAAAGGAAACAATGGTGCATTCCATGGAATGCACTCCGTCCTCAAGAGGTTAAATGCGAGATCAGTAATAGATGCAGTGTATGACTGGAAACACTACACATGTTTAACTCTTGTTTTCACTATGTTTGGTTATTTCTATACACTTTATAGTCAAGGATATATGTATCGCAGTGTAAATTATTCCATGGTTTATTTGATAATTACCACAATTTTCGGCTGACTCCTCTTCATATAAAACATGCATCTGAGATCTTCACACTTGTATCAGCTGTCGTCATGTTTATTGTTGTTTTGATGAAGAATTCTGGATACTAGGTCGGTGGTCTTGCCGCTGTGCATTTAGCATCCTAAGAAATGCTGTTAGTGATGGCTTTCATGAATCACTTAAAGTGCATTAGGTGTGGGGCCCAGCTGATGTTTGTTAGCATGGCGTGTCTCTGATTTCTGATTGTTCACGTAGGTTGGATCTTCGAATCCTTCCTTTTTCCGCGATACGAGATACTCATTTGTCCTTCTAACTTTCCGTTCTATAATTCGTAGTGATTTTCCATATTGCCTTCGTAGCTACCGGGTTTTGTTTCGTAACTAACGAAAGGACAAATTGTTGGGTTGAACAGGAAGATATGGAGTTTGAATTTCTTTTTTCTCATTACTGCGTCCTCCATACTTTGCAACTCTTCTAGGCTACTCGTTTACTTTTCAACTCTTGAACGAAATTTTTTTTCATCATGTCAACTTTCTGGCCTTGATAGACGAAACTGGAGCATTCAGAGTTATTCATTCCATTGAGCCTGAATGGCGTAAAACTAATTTCCTCCTCAAGAAAATTATTTCTGCCAGATCTAGTCTGAAGACGGATCTTCTTACAAGGGATGTCCAATTCTGTCAACATTCGTTCTTCTTGGTCTGTGCTTGGTTTATAGGAACGTTTTCATCAATGAATCGAAGATGCTGTAATTATTTGACATCTCTTTTAACTTCGAAATCACTCCAATCTAATAATCGCATGGTGTTACGAAGGGTGTGAGTAAGTGATTTTGACGATACAGTATCGTCTTTGCTCATCCTTCTACGTCGATGTTGATATCGCTGTAAATGGTCAGAGTTTTATTGTATATTATTTCTGTATTTGCGAAGAACATGTAACAAACAGTGACGCCCTGTTTGCTCAAAGCTATTTCTTTCTATTCCTCGAATTCCAAAGTTTTTTTTTTGCTTCTTTCTGATGTCAAAGGGACAATTGAAAAGGCGACCTCATATGCTGGAGAGGAATTTTTCATAGGACTGTTTGCAATCAATTCGAAAACTGAGATTTTAGGCTATAGCTCGACGTTGCCGATTTTCGAAAACAAACCTCTAGACGTTGCTTCAGGAGGAGATTTTTGCGCTGCAGACGTGCATCATTTCTCACCGGGAGAGCTCTTTCTCTGAAGTATTAGTAATCATTCGATAGCGTAATCGTTTCTGATTCCAACGCTGTGCTTATTTTCTGCAAAGACCTTTTCTCAGTGCAACAGGAGGAATAAAATTGATTCACATACTTGAAGTGGTGTCTTTTCGCAATTTCATGCGGTGATGTGATTCGAATTGAGGACGGATGTGACCGCTTTGCACGACCTTCGGTCGATTCGCCCTTTGGCTGCTGTCATAACTCCCTGCTGCACTGCACATAGACGGTCTTTCCAGAAAATAAGCACAGAATCGGAGTCAGCAAACATTACGCTATCGAATGATTACCAATGACTCCAAAAGAACTCTGTTCGGCGAGGATATAAACAAATCTTTTCTTTCTCCTAGAGCGCTATCAAAATAGCTTTTCTAAAAAGTAAACATGTTTTTGAGTCCTACAGAACCTGAGCTATCGAATGAATATTAGCACCAACGAAGGAGTTTTGTCCAGTGTAATATAAGCGGAATAAGAAAAAAATACGTCGTTTTGTGAGGCATAGTTTTATTTTGGATTTCGCGGTGAATGAGGTCGGTATTTCATTTGTTCTCTTATAATCTAAAGGATCGTTTTTTTTGTTGGTTTCATAGAAGTGAGCCGACGCAGTCTCGTGCCTTTTCGGGACGCTTCACTAAGCTTGTTATCATGTGAATGTAATTTAGAATACAACATGTTTTCGTAACCCTGCTTGCTGACATAAATGTCCTCTCTCAGTGTTTTGTCAATCCTCTTTGGGATGACTCAAGTGAACAGCTTATAAACGACATGCGAGGAGCACATTGGGCGAGAATTGCCGAGTTTCGTGATGGGTTTTCTTTCCAAAAAATGACACGGCTTGCTGGTCTTCCACTGAATGAGGACCGGACCATTCGCGAAGATTGTGTGGAGTTTCAAAAAAATCGTCACTTTAAGACACAAATCAAAACATGAGGTTCTGGGGAGATTCGAACTCCCGTTACTGGATTCAAAGTCCAAAGTGTTAATCGCTGCACAACGGGACTACATGTACGAAGTCGACAAATTCGCTGTGGCGCCTATGAATGTGAATGATAGGAAGGTTTCGCTATTTAGAGGAGAAATATCGTTAGTTCAGATGTCCAACTGTGGTTTCAATGAGAATGTAGTCTGCGTTACTGGATTTGAAATTTGTGATGTTAATTACTACATTGCGGGATTAATGCGAGCTGTAAAACAGATTCGCTGTGGCGTTTGCGAATGTGGATCATAATGAAGAAGGTTCTGAGCTTGATAGAGGAACTGTTGCTAGCAAAGAACCCGAACTGTGATTTCTTCGAGATTCTCATTTGCACTGCTGAATAGGAAGTCTATGGTGTTAATCAGAACACCACAAAACTAACCTAAATTTGATAAGAAATTCACCTTATGGTGTATCATGGACATGGTCTTTGAAGCGTTGCGACAATACACAGTGATTAGTGACAGAATCGATACCTTGTCTTGCGTAAAGATGATAGTAGATCAGGAACTCCCGTAGCGTGGTGGTTAGCACGTTACCCAGAAAAGGCGAGACGCAGGTTCAACTTCATCCTAGCGTAGGATGTGGGATAGACTGAATTGGGATCACTCCGTCTATACAGCAAGGCATCTCCAATCTCTGAGTTGCAGGTGACGTTTCAATTGTGGATTTCCTTGTGTTGCCAGGAATTATATTTCGCTATAAGTTATTCTGACATTTTATATAATTTCAAAAATTAGTCCGGATTGAGCTCATCTTCAGCTGGTCTTCGCCTACTTTAGCCGGTGTGGGTCAAACATGGGCAATAGCTTCATGTATGCCGTACTGCATGCACGTATACCTTTGCAACTTCCCTACCAATATCTTAATAGACATGTCGACCACTTAGGAAATAGTATGAGGCTATGAATAATTTTGATGGCCTGTAAGACTGTAGAATCATGGTAATATACAAGTAGCTTTAGATATTTTCACTTCCTTCAAGGAGTTTCTCATGAGTTTACAGAATATCAGGCGTGTTAATCGTTTTTGCTTACCACTGCTATAAAAAATTCTGGCAATGATGGTTCTAGCTAGCCCTTGGTAGCTACAGGTTGGATGAGGTGCTGCTTTTCGTTAGCATCTGATTCGTAGTCTTTCATGAATTTTGAAGAAAACGTGATTATCATTGTGCTTATGAAAGTTTTTTCGAACACATTTAAAAAAAGAATTTTATGAAATTTATTTGTCATTGCATGACTTAACATCACATATATCACACTACCTGGATCCCAGCACTTCTTGCATTTGATTTGTTTCGCCGGCTCCATCACCCATAAAGATATATGAGATTTTTTGCATATGGTGTCGGTTGTGCCGCTCAAGAATTTTTTCGCCTTCCTCATCAACGTTTTTAATGCTGGTCAAGTCAATTCTTATGTAAATCCTGAGACAGGTGTAATAGATCGCTTCCGCGCAGACTTTGTAGGACGGGTTTGCCTCAATTTGCTACCAATTTGAAAACCGACTTTTCATGAGACGTCGGCGTCACGATCTAACCATATACTTTTTCTTGCTGAAACTAATAACACGAGGTTGTCAAAAATAAAATCTATTCGGCGAGCACTTCGACGTTTTCGTCCCCTTCTGAGGAGATGATTCGAATCGGTTGCCTCAACCGGACGTTTCCGCTATGGTCTCGGCATCAATCGTGTTGAATCTTTTCTGTGGACACCGCTCACATATGTCACATATAGACTTCAATGAAAGCGAACGACTGTGGACATTCAACTTGCATCATTGTCCCAGAAAAAAGATTATGACGTCGAAACGTCAGCCGAATTAATCCTATTTTTACCAACCTCGTGCTAAATAAACAAAGAATATGATCTGGTATCAATCAACGACCCATAAGTGGTGAAAGATATGAGAAGCCAGTTGGGGTCGAATCAGCTTTTGGGTAAGTTCAGCTTTCCTCGCGTCACAAATAGATTCATTACTGCTGTGCAACCAACCCTCTTTCTCAGAAACAAAGAATCCTTCAGAATATCTGAAACTGTTTTAGTCTATGGAATGTCTCATCATGAGTCGCGATTTTTAGTAAACCAAAATTACTTTTCAATTTGAATTTTTTCTTTTGCTTAGATCCAATGTGGCGATTTTTTTTAAGGAGACATACGTTCTTATTGCTATGTTTGATGCTCTAACCTTATTTAGTTTCCAATTTCCATAGAACTCTATGAGAATAAATGGGAAATTTGCATACCTTATTTAGGGTGCTGCAGGGGCTCGTGATAATTCGCTGACAACTCAGACATGGAGCAAAGACAACGGTTGCATAATCCATAATCCGAAAGCTAAACAACTTAGGAGTCATTTCACAAGTCCAATTCCGTGAGTCTCTCTGCGATTACCTTGAAATTTTTTCCGCATTAAGAGCAGCAGCACTGTCACGACATGGAAAAAAATTATATGGAGCGATTATTTGTGTTTGAAGTGAGTTATTGAACGCGCTCTATAGTTTACAATCAATATGACAAAATAAGCCGAACATAAAACTATAAGTTAATCACCAAATAGACTATTGATCAGAGGAAAGAACACAGTAGAATCGAATGGGTTGATGATAAAGAATTTTTAGCCACGAGTTTCGATTACGACATCTAAGTGGCTATTCCATACCAAACTCGCGTAACTTTACCTTCCTAATTTTTTTCTACTTTTGGCAGTGATACCACCGTATAGTGTTGCGCGTTGTACTTTGGTGACAGCCCGGCAAAATGCGTCGATCATCTCAATCACAAAGTCTCTGAGGCGATGCTATAAAACAATCTAGGACACTCCTACAACCTCCTTTCGGAATTAACCAGTCAGATATATCTTCAGACATAGTGGCTCCTTTGAAAGTGACAGAGGATTTACAGGATATTCGATATGAATTCATCCCCTAGGAACGCGCTATATATTCCGATCAAGCATCGCGAAAGAGAAAGAATTTTGTTGAGCCACTGGCGTGTCATGCAAGATTTTTGTCTCTCAAAACGATCTCAGTATGGCCTTGCGATCTCTGTAAAGGGTTTTTGGTCAGCCTAATGCACGAGATCGAAGCGAGACCATCTGTTTATCACAGATCATGTTTAGTCATTGCACTAAGCGCATACTATTTACGGTAAAGAATAATAATCTGAAAAAGTCATTTTGCAGAGTAATATCGAATTCAAATTAGGTACAACTTATTGCTAGACCGTTCGATCTGTCGCTCTGTACACCAGGGTAATTTGGGTAATTACTGTTGGTTTGGACCGAAATCGTCAAAGTTTCAATTAGACTGATCACGATTCTTTTACTCTCGAATCCACTGACTTCTTTGCTCCAGATTGGTGAGAAGCATATTTGGGCCTCACTGTTCTGAATTTATTTCAACATTACATGCTGCGATCTGTAATGTACTCGCCATTTTACCTGCCCCATTGAACACTTTTGAGACGATTGGATATACAGCGCTTCTGCTCTTTTCGGACGGGTGCTTCGAGATTTAGGCTTTCGAATGATTGATAAGAGTCTGACGGAAAATCTTTGTCCAGCAAAAGAGATTTCTTCAAAAAATCCCTTCACGATAACGAAAATGATTTGGAACGTTTTCCACGTGGTCGTCTTTAGGTGACTCAAGCCACCTGCACTAAACGTTATCGTTCAAATTTGAAGCTCGAATTGCTGATTTTTTCTATAGCGATAGTCAGCCAGTAAACCGTGATTACTCACATGTAAAGTACAATCTCTAGCTGTTTAGAAATGCTTCGAAATGTTATCCGGTAACAGAATAAAATATTATTGGCGTATATATCCGTTGCGTACAGACTGAAGACTAATCCCTCCGGTTCAGTCAAAAGGTAAAGTGGTTGGGAAAGCACTCGACTCTCGTGTGCTGTTGAAAGATGAGAAAAGGTCAGAAATCCAAAAATGAACTGGAATGACGAGTGCGTACTACCATTTGAGACATATTCCTTTTCCTTGTTTGGTCCTTTTACCTTACCTGAGGGGAGGTATTAAAAAAACGTTGACGATTTACCGAATCACAAGAATAGTCTAACACAACATATGCTAAGGCTCTGAAGAAGGCGAAGTTTCCGAAAGGTGAGCTATCGAACTGCCACTCTACTACTACAATTATCAGCAACTTTGCGTCGTCTAGATACAATAAGTCCTTGAGATTCACATATAACTGTCGATGTCGAAGTTCACAGAGAAACGGTTTCCTGAAGCATTTTAAGGTCATTCGCAAACTTAGTCTTCTGTTCGGAAGCAAATAGTAAAGTGGGAAATGACATACGAGCAACCGCCTCGAGTCCGTCAACATCAATTCGCTAACTATGGTAGTCGTACTTCAGTTAATGATCATCCTGGTAACTCCTCCAAGTAAAATGGGGCAACTTTCTCCAATTTCTTCTAAATCTCTTAAATCCTCGGTGCATATGTTTTGCTGTGTTTCTATTTTGCTTCTTTCTGAAATCATACCTGTAATACATCGAATTTTTGCGTTGAACCTTCTGTAGGATTTTGTTGGGGGACAATATGAGACGTGCTGATCAGCCTTTTGAGGCATAAAGAAAAAACTTTTATTTCAAAATATTGTGTCAGTTCTCACCACGGAATTCTCATAAGAATGTTGTGAAATCTATTGCAATTAGTTTGATTATGAAAATAGCTAAAGAAAGTAAAGTTCAACATACAAACTAGTTTTATTATTTGATATAGAAAAATCATTTAAACTAGTTCTATTCTTTAATATAGAAAAATTAAAACTAGATATCTAGTGCTCATATTTTTTTCGATTACTCTCCATAATGGATGCTTCAGGAATGCAACATGGAAGCACGGCATCAGTTTGATGGTAACTCGTCATGAAGAAGGCAGTCGTCTACAGCAGTTCGCAGAAGACGTTGAAAAAACCGACAGTGCCAGTTTTTATGTCAGAAATATATATTCATAATTATTCAAGCATATACATATATATATATATATACATACGTATACATACATACATAC